CGACAGGAAGCTCGTCGCGTTCAACCTGACGCGAAATTACCACAGTACGCGCTGCGACTTGTCCGCTGGCTCTGCCTTGTTGCCGCACGATGGGTCTTCTGGGGGATATCCGGGCCGAAGTTTTACTCTTCATATCATTTAAGTCGGCTGTTTTAGCAAAATGTTTCTGACAACCGCTTCTCGCTTCTGCATATGCAATATGGGCAATTTATTGCCCATGATGTCGTCTCCATGCCGGCTTCAACAGGTAAGTGCCATCGAATTCCGCACACAATAGTGGTCAGAAGCAAGCCCGCAACATACAGTGCTCGCTAATCGCGCTTGATGTAAGACAGTGATGCTTTCGGCATGCACTTGTAAACTCTAGCTATTGGAGTTGAGGCCAAGGACTCCTTCAAAATCTGCTTGTTTCTTCAGGAGATAATGGATCACCACTGAATTGCTCGCCATGCAACTCCAACAGTGTGTCGCCGAACTGCATGCCTATCCAAGTACCGGACGGAGACAAGTAGGACAAACCTAATTATTCAGCAAAAATTACCTGAAACTGTAATGTTGAATGGAAAGGATAGGGGTTCCACACACATATCATTGAATCGAACACCTAACCACACAACGGAGCTTGCCATCTCAAACAAGCTCCATTGCGCCTTAAATTTTCACACATTCGTCATCATTTACGTTCTCCGAAGGTATCGGTGGTGATTGCAACAATGAATTGCATAATTCAATGTGAGATCGACGTGAAGGAGCTTTCCACAGAGTGGTAAAAGGGTGGACGAAGTGTGGCGCAGCGCTTGTTGTTTTTTCATAGAGCAACAGGCCAGTGCTTACAACCTTGGTGGCACGGATCGTGTTTGCGTGAAGGGGGGGGGATTGTAGTTGCGGGCTTGCATGGTGGTGGTAGGAAGAGTGCTTGAAAAAAGTTTGGAACGTCGTGTTCTATAATGGGTAGGGGATATATGCAGTCGAAGTTCTTCGGACCCGAAGTTCCGGGTCTAGAATTGCAACTGTGAGTTTATTCATCCTGCTTCTTCACGATTGCTTCCCAGCAGGCGCACTGCATTTCGATTCGCTCAACCGTGCTCTAAATGGCAGGAGAATATCGGAGAAAGACAGCAACGTGTGAATCAGGTAGAATCTTTCGCGCTCACAAATAAAGTGGAATTTTCACTAACTCCATCTTTACAGCTCCATGCATCACACTGATGCGCATGCACGCTCCAATAATGTCAGAGCCTTACCACTTGACTGCGATTCGTTGCAGCTAATGTTCCTAATAAAACAGTCGAACTCGAAGTGTCTGCGACGCGCACTTACCTCATGCTCTCTCGTCTGCCCCATCTCAACAGCCCTTCGCTGTGGACCAGCCTGAAAAGTGAAGGGGCAGGGGCTTAATTTCATCCAGTTTTTCTTTACTGGCGGTCCCTCTCCCAATGTTTCATGTCAGCCGAACATCATCGTGTAAATTATGCTTCAATGGATAAAGCTTTTTCGGACGGTTTTCATCATCCATTACAACAGGAAGGACACTGGTGGTGAGAACTACGGGATGGCCGCAGATCAAGTCCCGATGTGCAACCTGGTACCCTTTAATGCAGTGCCTGCGAGTCAGACTCTGGACGCAGAAGCACACAAGAAAACGGAACCATCAAAACGTCAATTAAGCAGTCAGTATGGCTCGTTCAGATATCGCGACCACGCATTACTGGACTTATCCACGTCTCGGTGCAGATGAAATGTAGCGCACGCAGAGTTCTTCTTCTGGAGAATGGGGACTCTGAAGAGATTTCTGCTGCACGGAAATGTCATGCCACCGCAAAATCCCGTGAGTTGGTATCGCAGCGCGACGTCACCATATTGAAACCGATAACTTACTAACTAACGAGTTGCTCCGCAAGAAACTTGCTCTTTTCAGGTCGCATGCCGTTCCTCACCAGAATTTCCGTGCTTTCTTGTGGGGGCGAAAGAAGAAGCGCCATAACACCAGGTTGCTGCTCTCCGACTTCAATGGCCTTCGAATTAAAAAAATTTTAATGAATTTTGACTTGTTTTGTTTGTTAACTGCTGTTTTAACGCCGCAGTTCGCGTTGCGAATGTTTCACAAGAATGCTGGGTTGTGAACAAAACTTTCGCCCCAGGCGGGACTAGAACCCGCACCTCTCGCTTTCCGGGCAAGTGCGCTACCAGTTACGCTACCGGGGCACCATTTCATTCCAACTCAGCTTTTCATGGTATACGTACCATAGCTTTCAGCACTCACACGTATAACGTGTTATTAATTTGCACAGCAAAATTTTTGAACATACTGGACAGGATACTTTTGCATGATCCCAGGAGATCGTTCTGAGCTCTGAGGGCTCAATATTTGTGTTTAGTACAAATAAGTGAGTTCAAGAAGAAACATTAACTGTTCAGGAATGCTGACGCTTCACACAATATTTCTGAGAGAACATAACAAAATAGCCGGCGAAATACAAGAGCGGCGACCGGAATGGGATGATGAGAAGCTGTTCCAGGTACGATACAAATCTAAAATTCAACGGTCTGCCGAAAGAACCTGATTCTTCCGTGAGAAAGCAATTCTAGTAGTAGTGAAATGAAGGCCATGGTGCAGGGAAATTACCTCAATGACTGTGGACCATACGGTAGTGGTCTGACCAATCTTCTGGAAAGCGTTCGCTTAAGAAGAGTGGCGTCGAGTCACTTATGCCTTGCATATGGTGTCATTGTCGATTATCCAGGAGCTCTATTGCAAACAAGCCTTCGTCTCAAATTCGCTTATCATGGGTGGGAGCATGACTTACGTGGAGGATAATCAGTCAATCATGATGGATCATCGCGCGGGGGGTTTATATAGCAGGCCACATTGCAAGCGGCTCTGTGAAGGAGTGTAGATATGCAGCGCTCATGCGGAAGTGGTGTAGTGACAAGTGGCACGCTTACCACGCGAGCGGTCCGGGATCAAATCCTGGGTCGTGAGTCGCCCGGGCCAACCAAGCCTTCCATCCCTCCGGGGTCGGTTAATTGGTACCAGACTTGTCTGGGAGGATAAAAACACTGACTTGTACATCGGCTGGCCCCCGCAAGTCATTGTATAGGCCACATCGCATTCAAACGCCACTACGAATGTACAAATGGAAGTAGAATGCGTGCCGCATCCCAAAAAGGGATTGATCAACGGCAAATGCTTTATCCTTTATGCTTTTTTATTCGAAAGCATCACTCATCTCGGATATGAGTCATACACCACACGACTCCTGTTGGGCCCTTCCTTATGTATTCACAGTTTTCCGGAAAAGACACAGAGCATTAAAATCGAGCGATATCGAAAAGAAGTCCATGTTTTCGTCATATCATTTCTTCATCTGACGGCAAACCTTGAACGAGAAGAGCAGAAGAAACAATGCATAGACGTTGAGAGCGACTGATAGCGCTTGCACACCTCGGAAGATTCTGAGCCTTTCGTATGTGTAAAAGTGAAACTTTAGTGTGATGCATTAGTGCAGATTGGACTCGAAGCGAACTTTTCTCGAAATCTCTTATACGGCTCGTTCTCATTTCTTCTGTAAGCACCAGCGGTAGACTATTCGTTTCTGTCTTTCGCAATCGCCATCCATGGTTGTTGTAGAATTCGTCGGAGACGGCGATCTGAAGCATCGTTTCAGCTGCATTCGCAGCTGCTTTATGTGATTGACGTGCATCTCCCCATCTCTCCTCAGGTCTCCCTTAGGACAAAGAAAACCTACGGGGGCCCACGCGCGTTCTTGTTGTACGTTTCTTGGGAAGTGCCCACATGTTCAGTGAACCAACCAAACGAGTTTGTGAACCATGAGTAGAGGGAAGCGAAGGTTTTGAGCAGACTACCATGCAAGGATGTTTGAGAACGTGCACCTCCGTAGATTTCCTGTCGGTCAGAGGCTCGCTTCTATGAAACATCTTTCCTCGAGAAGTTGGACTTCTCACATGTGGAACAATTTTCGATATCTCAAAAATCGTTCTTTTTCAGGAGACCCGCCGGATCCTGATAGCAATCTTCCAACACATCACATACAATGAATACCTACCACTTGTGATTGGTTCACAACTATATGAAAGCAAAGCCCTCCGACCCCTCTCGACAGGCTTTTTCACAGGTCAGATCACTTTTGGATATATAGTATTTCTTTAGTGGGCAAGGAAATATGTATTCTGTGCAACTGCTCCAAAGCCATGAGGGTATGGGTTGGCTTTGAGAGTTGAGTCAAGAGGTAGGCACATACATAGCTACCAGCCATGACCTCTTCGCTTCCAGGTTACTCGCCATCTGAGCCGGCGTCAATTCGTTTGGAATTCAATGTAGCAGCTTTCCGTTTTGGACACACTACGGTAGAGCTCTCGAATTTTCTGAGTTTCCATCAATTCCATCAATTCATCAAAATTCAAACCCATCAAAATCAACAATTCCATGTTGAGCCAAAAATAGGGGATTATATTCGTCTCGTTCTGATCCTCTAATCACAGTCATTCTACCTGGTCAGTACCACTCACAATTAGCTGATTTTCTAGGGGGCATTTCGCAAGCTCTCTGGATGCAATATCTTTGCTTTAAAGAGTGAATGATTGTCACTTAATAAATAAAGAAGTTGCCTTGAAAACATTCATTCGCAATTTCTTGTCCAGTCTAGAAGAGTTCAGAGTTGGTGCCATGTCTTTTCGAAATTCAAAAAATTCAAAAAACCATAAAATAGTAGGTACATAGCTGCGAAGAAGTGGAGGAGCCAGGCAATTTATGTAGCCTTCCTCAGGTACGCGCCGACATACCGCGTTTTTTCAAACAATGGAACCGCTAGTTGTGTGCTCCACTGAGCTTACCGCAGCACTTCAGCTACGCCGACGCCCACTATGAACACAAAGCTGGTGGAATAAATTCAATAAATCGAGCGCCATGTTGGTAATCTGATAACGAAATCCCAAGGCTGCCTGTAATTCCAGGTATTTCAGGCAGACTGTGGTGTCCGATGATGCGCGCCGGACTGCGCATGACGTCTCCAATGCGGAATCAGGCGTTGGCAGGTCGTGATGCACCCCTGGGAGGAATTGATCTTGCAGCCGTGAACATCCAAAGAGGTCGAGATGTCGGACTGAGGCCTTACATGGATTACGTCAGGTAGAGGTTGCTTTCGCTTCGTAATAATAGCCTTGGTTGGTTATGTATCGGAAATTCTGGCGTGCAAAATGCCATTTGCTTAGCATAGATATTTAACATACTTAGTGGATTGTGTAACTTGGGCACATTTTTTGGCGTTGAATATTGAATCATCGCTGATTGCGAAAGAAGATCATTAAATTTGTGCGTAGGGATTGTGTGAGCCCCCAGTGTTTCAATACTTAACATTCCCTTTCCGATTCAGGGCACTTCCTCGTCGCATTTCTGGAGCCGGCAGAAGCTACGAGAGCTTTAAGAACTCTTTATGGTAACATGGAAGATGTTGATTTGTACGCTGGCATTCTTACAGAACGTGCTGTGTCAGGAGGCATGGTCAGTGCCATCACAGCGTTAATTATCGAATAATGGTCGATAAGATAAGATAGCTACCGTCTTGTTTTCAGGTTGGACCGACTGCCGCAGAAATCATCGCTGATCAGTTCCGTAACTTGAAGGTCGCTGATAGATTTTACTACGAGAATCATGTGCAGGGAACGCAGGGATTCAACGAAGGTGGAATTTTTATCGTTTTTCTACTTCTACATATTAGGAACTGGTCAGCGAAATATTAATATGCTTATTTTCCAGAGCCCTTTCACTTCTGCTTTTGAGATCATTAGTTTCTATTCGTCTATGCCTTGCCTGTAATTGATGGCTGCGCAACCAGCGAAGCTTCCACCATCATGAAACTTTTTATGAAGTAAATGAGTTCGTGGCGCATTCCGAAGAAAAATGAAGTGGAAAGACCTTCAAACATCAGTTCGTGAGCGCATCGTTTCAGCTTTTAGGGCTAGGACTTAAAAGGATAGTGCTTATTTGCGGATGTTTTATGGACATTTCTCTAAATTCTAGCTGAACAGTGTGATGGTTCAAAGGGTTTAAAAGCACCGGTTACGTCTGTGTCCGGAACGGTTCCGAGTGAACGCTAGGGGTGCTTATTGGTACGCCAATGCTTAGAAAAACAGAAATTCGTCGAAGACGCAAAATCAACAGCCACGCAACCTTCTTGCGTGGCTGCTGATTTTCGCTCACGGACAAGCATGATTGGTGGCACCATGCCAATACATGCTCCAATCGAATGCTCTAGTTGTGCCGCTGCTGGCAACGCAGCTCGTCCAAATCACCAACTAAACTAGTGGGCGGAGCTTTTGGGGCGGAGTGCTTTCGAAGTCCTGCTCAGCAACCAGCGCACCTTTCGTCGTGAAAGCGCTACATCTCGTCTACTTGACAGCCAAGTTATTTTTTTTTGTGGTGCAATCGAAGGTAATTCGGGCGGAGCCAAAGGCGGGGCATGGAAAGAAGTCCGCTTGGGCGGCTACGTATCAGGCGACGCAATGAAAGAATCGGGTTAAAGCGTGCGATTTTGGAGAGTAGAGACAAATCGATCGAGAATAGGATGGAGTAGAAGTGTGAGATGTGAATGCAATAAGTCAAAAGGCCAGAAAGAGTTTCTAGTGAGGCACTCCAAGAACCAAGTGGAAGCATCCCCGTCGCCAGCATTTGTGACAGATGTGCGGCGGTACTTTGAACGCGTAGCAGCCCTTTCGGTTTTTCGAATTTTTTTTTTTTTACCAAAACAAATGCAATTTTTCTGTCCTTTCATTGTTATCGTGGATGATGGGTATCAAGCCAGTAAATTATGGCTAAAACTGAATCATGATTTCTCCCGTGAAGGATTCCGGCGGGTTTAACCACGAGTTGCCATATCCATGCTTCTATGCTTTTCGTATGCTCCTCTCCTTCAACAGCAGCTGTTTAATGCACCCCTAACTGTTCCTAGGATCTCAGAGAGCTTCCAGTAAAAAATACTGATAATGAAGCGAGTTTATCTGGGAGTAAATAGGTATTATAGTAGATTAGTGGCATCAAAATGGCTAAAACTGAGCAGTTTCGCATACACTGTGATCTAGCCCCTCCACTCTGGAGCGTAACATATTTTGTCATCATGCTTACTGTTTCAGGTGAGCTTGCCGAAATCCGAAAATGACTTGGGCCTCGACTAGTATGCTCGAACACGGAGGGAATGGTGTCGGTCAGAAGTAAAATTTTTGAGCTAAGGTGAGTTCATCGACTCTCAAGTTAATTATTGACTCTAATGGGAACCGTTTCAGCAGTCCTTTGGCGGCGTGTCATTCTCTTCCACACATCGATTTATCGCTGTTTATTTGACGAAAGCACAGCATCCTTCACAGACGGACTGTTCTAATAATATTGTATAATATAATATATTTATGTGCGATAAGTCATCATTGATGGAATCAAATCAATAAAATTTTCTGTTTTGCATAGAAGGAGGCATGGAAACGGCAACAGCTAAAAGGCAAGACTCACGGTTCCCTTCTGGCTTGAAGGATAGAAGTTATCACAGAGGTGGTTCTCCTGTGCATGGTCACTCAACAGAGACAACGGGGTTTGCACGTCACTTACAGTAGCTTCCAGAGCAGGGTGAATAACGGTCGAGGAAATCCTCGACAGGGGGTCGTATTTGCTCCGATGAGAGTTGGGAGGGGGTCGTAATCAAAAGGTTCATCAACGGACACAACGGTGCTGCTGCCACTTATTTGCTGTCATCATTAGTTTCACAAGTGTTGTAGTTAGCCTAATGCAAATAATATCTTACAACCTGTCTGGAATTAAAATTTAAATGGAAAGTGGTATGAAAAGGGTTTGAATTAAGGAGTAGTGATCAGACATCACTATGACCACAAGAGTTATCTAATTAGTTAATACTGGAAATATCTTTTGGTGTGATTAAGCAAGTCGTCACTAGGACAAAACACCTTCCCAATGACTCCGAGTGGGGTCACTGCATGGCGCATACAAGAACGGGAATGGATCCGCGCCAAGTGGCGTGTTCCCTACTACGGCGAGGGAGTAATAGAGTTTTCGAGTGGCTTCGAAAATTTCCTTGACATTTCCTCGACGCAGATTTCTCGCGAACTAGAAAGCGTTCGAAACAACTGGAGCACCTATCAGAAAGCGTAAATCTTCTACTTTACAACGCTTTCCTCCGATTTTCAAAGCATTGCCAATGAAGACAGCTACTGTCTTCCAAAGAGTGGGAACTCGCATGTAAATTTCAATTTCCTCGACAATTCCTCGACGTCTCCCACTCTCGAGAATAGGCGTGCTTAGAAAAACGCTCAGCACAATTTAGAAACTAGAAGTCTTGTGCATTCAAAAGCTGCCTTCACTTTCTGAAATGGTTATCAATGAAGAAAGTTATAGTCCTTTAAATAGGGGGTACATTTGACGATTTTTCCAACTAGCGCGCTCTAGGCACAGCGCGCGACGCGATCGCGGGTAGTTAGCGCCGCTATACTGGAGCGCGAGACTGTTCAACTGTGTAGGGGCAGTACCTCCTTCAATGTTCTACTTTCCGGCCAATGTGGCAAAGGTTAAATGTCTTTAAAGGAAAGAAAGGAGAACCTAATCTGAGCAGAATTGAATCTAGCATTTGGATCAAGCCGCATTTGCGTGGCAGCGGCGCTGCGTCCCTCTCGCACATCTGAAACTAGCATTTTTTGATATGAAACCGGATGTGCAGAGGACAAAAAGGGGTCGTATCAGAGTCCATGTTTTGGAGGGGGGTCGTAAAGAGGCGGTTATTTCCTCGACACGATTTTCACCCTGCCTTGGAGTTACCCATCCACGGCAGGCTGTCGTCTGGAGCCCTCCTTTCTGTCTCGCTCTCTCGCCTTGCACTTTCCTCTCTTCACTTAGTCACTCTACCTCAGCCTAGCCAGTCAGAAGTATCGATGAGCCCTACACCTGAGCGTTCTGAGCAGATTCCTCTCCTTTTCTCTACTACCGGCCCATTTCGCACCGATACGTTCGCATTCATGTGGAAGAACGGTTCCAGATTATGGCTGCTGGCATGCCTTCGAGCAACAGGCTCTAGACCAAAGTTGTGGGGTTGGGTAGCAGCGGTGATTAATGAAACCGCGGGAGGCGGGTTTTTGATGATTCCAGACAAAGAACCAAGCAAACGTTCGATAGGCTCAATGAGGACCCAGCTTGCCCCTTCGGAAAACGAGGTGGGCGTGTTAGGACGACTTTTCCCAACTCTTTTGCTCCATTATACCGGTAACCCGCGCGTATTTAACGTTCCGGCGAAATCCACGTTGCGTATCATTGTGCGCGAGGTCTAACAATAAGTTAAGTAGTACACCAATCAACCACCCACGGATCTCTTTCACTGAGGGTCCTCTCTCACTGAAAGATCTCGAGCCGGTTGGTGGCGAGGCTACGTGGCGCGACCCCAGGTGGCGGATAGGGGGTAAATCGCGGACCAAAAGCCACCATGTACTTGCCCTGAGACGCAGGTGGATTCAGGGGATGGACTCCCTGTTTCTGTAGCTGTGTTGATTCATACCAGCTGTCTCCACTCAGGCGCATCCATGCATGCTTGCGTGTGTGGTGCGCTCTGTGTGTGTGCGGTTGGTATCCTGCATGTCGGCACAGCCAAAAGCTTGCATTCAAGTGACTGGGAAGTACATGGGAGGCGATTCGGGGCCGCCTCCAAAAATAAGCCCCTTGTTCCGCTCCAGGATAGCGACGTCATCGGACTGACCGAGACGAGAAGGCACCGCCCGCTACACGCCGTTTTCGATACTGGAGAAGAACTGTTCCTTGGAACATGCGACAGCAGAGGCGTTGGCGGTGTGGGTGTCCTCGTCAACACGCACTTGGCCATAAACATCGATTCGTACGAAAGCCTTACGACCCGAATCGGACGTTTGAGATTGAGAAGATGTGGTTCAACTCCTGCTTTGACAATCTTCGTCGCCTACGCACCAACATCGAGCTACGACGAGGAGGAACACGAAGCATTTTATATGGAATTGGAGAAGTTCTACAAGGAAGATCATACCTTCTTCAAGGTCATCGTCGGCGACTTCAACGCCAAGATTGGCCCGAGAAGAACGGCTGAAGAACTTCACATCGGTACTCACGGAATGGATTGGAATGAGCAGGGCGAAAGACTGTCTGAGTTTATCATGTCGACCAACACCATCCATGGTAACTCACAGTTCCAGAAGCCCTCTCACCTTCGTTGGACTTGGGAGTCACCTGATGGACAGTTCCATAACGAGATAGACCACATCATCTTCAATCGAAGGTTTTGCCTGACCGACGTCGCTGTTGTTCCAAAGTTCTACACGGGATCGGACCATCGTCTCCTCCGCGCAAGATTCCACTTCTCGATGCGTGTTGAGAGAGCAGCAAAGTTCAGGAAGCGAAGCCCAGGACAGTCATCAACTGGGACCACTTCGCTTCCCTCGTCAGCTTATGGGAGGATTCCGTCATCGAAAACATCGACGAGGAGTACTATCGGCTCGTTGAACATCTTCACGATTGTGGCAAGAAGGCAGAGAGTTTGAAAGTCACCAAGGGACGTCTGTCTCCGGAAACTCTCGAACTGATACGCCAGCGTGGAGCCGCACGAGCTGCAGGCAATCACCGACTCACGTCCGAGCTTGCGAAGCTATGCAGAGAGGCGATAAAGGAAGATCTCAAGGAGCGAAGAGCAGCAGTATTAGCTGAAGCAGCAGAGGCTGGGAGGAGCATCCGCAATGCCCGCCGAAGCTTTGCCAGCTACAAGACCAAGATGACCTGCCTCCGACGTCCGGATGGAACAGTTACTGCATCCCGAAGGGCAATGGAGAAAGTCATCCACGACTTCTACTCGGATCTCTTCGATAGCCATGTCCATCTGCCTACTTATCAACCGCAAGAGGATGGATACGTTGTCCCCTCAGTTCTCTCTTCCGAAGTCCGACACGCCATCAAGTCGGTGAAGAATTGTACAGCGCCCGGTCTCGACAGGGTTAAACCGGAACATCTGAAGAACGCACCGCCAGTTATCATCAGAACTCTGGCTCGACTCTTCACGCGCTACCTGTCGGAATGCAAGGTACCCACTCCGTGGAAAACCAGCAGGACCGTGTTGCTGTACAAGAAGGGAGACTTGGACGACATTGGCAACTATCGCCCAATCTGCCTGCTGTCTGTAATCTACAAGCTATTCACTCGAGTCATCCTTAACAGGATCGGCAGAATACTAGATGAAGGACAGCCATGCGAGCAAGCAGGGTTCCGAAGAGGGTTCAGCACGATCGACCATATCCACACGGTTACGAGACTCATTGAAGTTTCACGGAGTACAAGATGCCGCTTTGTCTCACGTTCATCGACTTGAAGAAGGCCTTCGACTCTGTGGAGACAGAAGCGGTCATCGAAGCCTTGGGCAACCAGGGCGTCCCTACTCAGTACATCAAGATTCTTCGTGAGCTCTACAGCAACTTTACGACCAGGATCTCACCATTCTACAAGGAGGTCATCATCGACGTCAAGAGAGGGGTCCGACAGGGCGACACCATCTCGCCCAAACTCTTCAGCGCCGCTCTCGAGAACGTCATGCGTCAACTGGAATGGGAAGACATGGGAGTGAAGGTCGACGGCCGGCAACTACACCACCTTCGTTTTGCTGACGACATCGTTCTTATAACGCCGAACATCGAGCAAGCGGAGCGAATGCTGGCTGATTTCGACTGCGCCTGTGGTAAGGTTGGTCTACAGCTGAACCTAACGAAGACGATGTTTATGAGAAACGGATTGGTTCCTGATGCCCCATTCACGCTCAACGGAACGAACATCACCGAATGCTCCAGCTACGTGTACCTAGGTCGGGAAATCAATATGATGAACGATCTAGCTCCAGAGCTGAGCAGGAGGAAACGAGCGGCTTGGGGAGCGTACAAGAACATCGAGGGAGTAGTGAAGAAGACGAAGAACATCCGGCTCCGTGCCCACCTCTTCGATTCCGCTGTCCTTCCTGCCCTAACCTACGCCTCAGAGACTTGGACTCTGCGCAGGCAGGACGAGCATGCGGTCAGCGTTATCCAACGCGCTGTCGAGAGGACGATGCTAGGAGTAACCCTATACACGCAAGTGCAGAGGGGAATCCGGAGTTCGAACTACGCC